TAAATCACAGTTTTTGTATTCTTGGAGTGAAAAAAAATCTGTGGTTTTAAAAAAATAACAGCCTTCTTTCTTCTCTACCTATTGATAATATTTCACTATCAATCAAATGTATAGGACTCTGACTATATAAATCTGACCTTTTGTCCAAAGATTACAAAAATATCACACATGCCCAAAGAAAGATGCAATTGTGTCACTTAATGGAGGAGCACGCCAAGAAAAATTTTCAAATGGTACACCCTGGCTTGTGACTGCTCCTCTCTTGGCTGGCTCCCCAGTGTAGCTCCTAGAGGCTGTCATTGAGCAAGTCCTGCAGCCAGAGCAGAAGGGATGTCAGATTTGTGGTGATGTGGGCCAGGGCCCTGTGAACAGGGGATCTCTGTTGCAAGAAGTGGGCCAATAGCCATGGTGAGCAAAAGCAGTGCAGATTTGCTCCTGCACCAGATCACAAGGCCAAAATGGAGCAGATAGTGCTATGGGTAGCAAGTGGCCAAACTGCTCCCTCAGTTTTGGCCCTGCAGCCCTTTCTACCATGGGGCCAAACTGAGCAGGCAGTGCAGTAGCTAGCATTGCTCCTTCTCACCACTGCCATTAGGCGACTTCAATGCTGCTGACTTGACAGCCCCTGCAATGGTATGTACTGTGCATAACATACATAGGGCTGCAGGCACTGTTTACTAAACGTAACAGTAATTAACAGCATGGCTGTTTTCTTTCACCAATATATTTAGAATCTAGGTCTTCTGATGTTATTTTTGAAATTGTCACATCCACCAAGCACCTTAAACTATTAATAATTTGTCTGTTTTCAACACTAACATTAAAGTATGTCTTGCTGAAAGAAACCGAGGTTTATATTCACAGTCTCCAAAATCACAAGTGAAATGAGAAAAGGGGCCCACAGCAATAAACAGGCTCATGCCTTCCTCCTCTCACAGCTGTTAGAAAGTTGCACATCATATAGATGATAGTTGTGTAGTTAAAATACTGGGCTAGCACTCAAGAGAGTGATTTCATCTTGGACAAACCAGTCAGGGAGCCAAATTCAGGTACCTTAATATACACTACATAGCACCAACTCTATGAGTGGTCCCATTGAAATCAAATGGATGAATGATGAATAAGGAACTGTATTAAGTGGGTAAAATCCAGGTCATGCTAACTTCAATGGGACAGGATTTTGCTCCCAAGAGGTGTGTCTAAACTACATGGCTCCGTCGACGGAGCCACGTAAAGTAGTTTACTTGACATAGTCAATGAAGCGAGGATTTAAATAATCCCTGCTTCATTAACATAAAAATGTCTGCTGCGCTGTGCTGACAATCAGCTGATCCAGCACAGTGCGGCAGTCTAGACGCGGATCGGTCGACAAGGGAAGACTTTGTCAACCGCTCCTGTAAGCCTTGTGGAAGCCCCGCACTCCTTGTCGACAGAGCCATGTAGTCTAGACACACCTGAAGAGTACAAATATCAGAGCCTGGCCTGACCTCTCTCTGCTTTAGATTCTTGTCTGTAAAGAGACAGGGGAGGCCTGATAATTTCCCTGCCTCACAGGGATGATGTGAAGGTAAATTCATTAACATTTGTGAGGCACTGAGATACTGTGGTGAAGGGGCCTCTGTAAGTATACAGATTAATTAACGTTTTACAGCAATTAGGAGTCAAATATAGAAAACATTGGCAGAAGTTGTAATTGTTTGTTGCAAGGTTGTTTTTAAAAAGTGTTACAGTAGCTTACAGTTAAACAACAAAACATCACATAATCAATAAAAAATGCACCACAGACACTGTATCACTAAGAAAGCCAGTAACTTTACTGATTTGTCTGCAAAATACAAATTATACCTTATTTCCAGCAGGAGAAACTTGTGAAATTTTCCCATTTTTGTTCACTACAGACAGCTGAATTAAGTCCCTTGAGATACACAGATGTGGTTTAACTTAGTTATAACATCTTGTCATCTAGTGGCGACAAAGTCCAGCTTATGCCGCTTTGAGCCTCTAATTTAATACTTGTTGCAAATGCTTGTATGCCACCCATTTACAAGCTACTTTTTAATTACCATTGTTTAATGGGAACAAATTCCCAGAAAAAGAAGAAGCAGGGAAAGAAAAAAAAAAAAAAAAAAGGATACAACAAACCATCTGAAGCAATCCAAGTATAATGCGTAAGGTAACTCGGGGTTTACATGATTTACTCCACAGAGGACACAGGTACTGCATTTTTTATTTATCATTGAACTGACCTCTTTGAATCAAACTGAGGTATGGATCAGTCTGAGGTATGAGCAGGGAAGGGAAAATGCAACACCTGATTATAAAAGTAATCAGATGGAGAATTTTGAGCTGAAGGTGTGGCTCAAAGCTTGGATTGCTCCACATCTTTGGTTAAAATATATTAACAAAAGCCTTTTAATTACATCTACAGTCTGAACAATTCTAATAGATACCAATGTTCAATTAGTCCTTCAAGAGATCTGTAGTGGCAGGAAATTAATGCCATATAAGTGATGACATCACAGCAGATGGCATAAACAGGAACAGATGAAGTATGCCATGTTTAGGCAACAGCCTTTATTGAGGTTTCAAGTGGCTTTTAAAATATTACAAAGCATTTATTTTCTAAGAGAAAGAGAGGAAAAAGAAAACAAAATAGCATTGGTACGTCTCTAGTTAAAAGATGGGTATATAGGGTAATACATACAATACAAAAGGATTGACATTCTTGAGAACAATATATTGAGTTGTTTTATTCTTGCTTTAGCTTTACCTGAAAAAGATTTGAGAACAACAGATTTTTTATATTATTCATTAAAAACCATTAAATTCCACTTTTGGGAAAAATATAAGCCATTTTGTTATAAAACACAATTTTTGAAAAACACTAAAATGATAAAATCTCTATCGTGAAAGGCAACAATGCATAAAATATACAGATTGTGCAACTGTGCATATCGTATCATCGTTGCCAGCCGTTGGGCTAACTGAAACACACCTTTTAAAATAAAGCTTAGTTTGGCTACAACAATACTTGGAGATGTAAAATATGCCACTTAAGGTATTGAACTTGCAATTAAGAATGTTGCCTAAAACATTATCTAGCATGGATTAATGTAAAGTAAATGTTAATACTCTTTTAGGGCTCTGCCCCAAACTCCTTAGATACAAAGGAATCACACAATAAACCCAAATTACCTTTGCAAACACAATACATGGTAAGTTACAGATAAAGGAACAGGTAAAAGTAGACAGTTATAGTTTACAGAAAGTTACTTCACAATCAAAGTTGTGCTTCTTTTCATTAGATCAGTTCACAAATATGTATTCTCCCCCACTATCTTGCCACTATACTTTAGTTGAGCTCAGTAGCAGGAACAAAAGGGACGACTGGCATCCGTTTTCATGTGATTCTATTTGTATTAATATAAAACCATGGTCAGAATTACTAAAAATTGCCACGGCAATACCTTTCATGCTACTTTCTGCGAGTTACTTAAGGTCACATATGTTATATCACGACTGCCCTAGAATCTCAAATTTCCTTTTCCTTGTGTTGCTGAGGCAAATTGTATTAATATGGCTATTCTTCATATTTCAATAGACTGACTCCCTTGCCTTCTGACGAACAATACTGAGAAACCTAAGTTTTTTTAAAATGGCAAGTTACATTTGTAATATATTTGCATATTTTAGATACATTAAAATTTAAAAATGTCAGACTGACAATATGAGAGTAGGTTAATTTTATGGGTTGGAAATTTATTTGAAAAAGTTTTGTGTTTTAAAAAATTAATTATGAGCCCTAGTCTTACTTTTTTGTTATGCACGCATATCTTTTTCTTATCCCACAGATTTGTGCTATGAGACAGGATGGATGCACTAGTAACATGTTATTCTGCCTAGAGAGCATCAAAAATACATAGCAATGCACTAGTATCTGCATGACCAAGTGTGCATTTATAATTTGGTTGCATATAAAGGAAGAGCCCAAGTGACAGTGAACAATGTACACTCTACACCATTTGCTACCACAAAGAGGTAGACTTTATCAAAGAGCAGTGAACAGCAACTGAACGTATTGACAGGGAATAGAGAGTATATTTCCCTTAACGCTGGGCTACTCAACTTTGGAAGCCCTGGGGACCACAATGATACTCACAGCACATGCCAAGGGCTGCAACTTAAGCGTGGTTGCATATACATGTAAATATATATGCATATATATGCAAATAGCTTTTTTCTCACTGACAGGCATGAATAGAAAGATTAAGGCAGGACTACACAACACGCAGGCTCCAGTTAAGTCAGTTCTGCTGGTATTAATAAAATGCAATATTTACCCGATTTCCAGCCATATGATATCACTTTTAATGAGCAATGACAGTCCAGGAATTTAACTGCTAAAATGCATATCAGCAGAAGACCATTATATTGACTCATCGTTGTGGAGTGTGTTCCCAGTAAAGGCCATGTTCAAAGGATCCCACCTACAGGCCTCATATTGAGCCCCACGCAAACCCAAACTGCACTGCGGGCTGCAAACAAACGGGTCTTGGGCCTCATGCAGCCCACGGGCTGTATGTTGAGTCACCCTGCCTTAATGTAACCTCTTCATGTTGATACTTAGCTATTGAAGCTATATTCCTTGCAGTGCCAATGCATTTAAGTGGGAGACAAAATTACTCTTGAAAAAAAGAAATATTGCCAGTTTTACAATGGCACCACATTCTTAAAGGGGAATAGCTTAAAAAAAATCCCACCAACAAAACAAATCCACTGAATATAAATGCTGAACTAAAAATCCTGTATTCCACCATTTTCCTGTACTAGTACATGAGGGACAAAGAGAATTAAAATGAATGGAATATTCCTTCTATATAAACTCTTTTGACTAAAGAATAATACATGGTGGAAGAAAATGGTGGATGCCCTATGCAAAACCTATTTATGTGAAATACACAGGAGGCATTGTTCAACAACATTCCCTCTGTGTGACAGTGTGACCAATAAGGGCTGCAAGAATGATGATGAAGGGCTGTTGGGTAAGTACTGGTTGTACAAGATAAATCTTCTTTTGTATGCTTCTTTTTTTGACCACCCTAATACCTCTAAGGTTAAAAAACTCTGTAACTTTTGTTTCTGTGTCAATTCTTCACTTTTGACTCCTTCTCTACTACTTAGGGAACTCTTCACCTGCGTTCATATACCTGGCAGTGTTAAGAGATCCAAATCTAGCAGGCAGAATATCAGGTTCATTTAATTTATGAGAAAAGGCCAAGTTATGCCATTTTGTCATTTAATTGTGGAAAACTACAAGATATGCAGGACATAAGTAATATCTGGGCCCTGAACTTGTTACAATGCACAAAACAGCATGAAAGAACTAATTAGTATATACAATGGATCTCAGTTCACCCAATGGTTTATAAATGTTATATTAAAATGATTTAGGTTGTTATATCTTGGGTAAATTCTAACCTTTTACAGATTAGTCTTTTGACTGCTGACTTTGAATCCGTAAAATGTATGCAGAGTGAAAGAAAACCAAAGGAAAATAGTTACTTAAATGTGCAACTGCACATATATAATCCCCCCACTATTAAGATAACAAAAACTTTTGCTATTACCATAATTATTATATATATTAGAAAGCTATACACAAGCATGTTAATTTCACAGATTTTTTAAAAGATTCTTAATATTTTATATAATTAGAAATACACATTTCAAAAACAAAACTTCTGCAAAGAGAAAACAGTTATCTTGGTTAGCAAAGCATGGAGTTCTTCATGGCTTAGGGTAGTGCTTTCTATACAAAAAAAAGTCCTCTGTTTTCTTCAGGACTATTTAAAATATTAGCGAAGCTATCAAGGAAAAAACACATTTTGGCTTGAGGAAACTACAAAAAGCCACAAATGCTTTGCAAACTCTGTCTTACTTTTTAATATGAAAATAAGCAAAATGTAATGTACATATTTTTATATTTTTTATTTAATAAGTGATGCAGACCCAGAATTTTAAAAATTAAATATGTTTAGCCCTCAAACTCAACATTTTTACAAGTATGGTCCTCTTTTACATGTCTTTGATCCTTTTAACTGAGTGCCATACTCCAATGATATGCCTGCATGTTTGTGAGCATTTTAGGTATGGTAGGTGACCCAGTCTCTTTCAAGCATTTATTCATGGCCACCCATTGCTGGGTCTGTCAAAACATCTGTACATTTTCTATATGTTGCATAACAGCTGCTTTCTCTCTCAGTAAAGTCTGCCACTTTCTGGCAAATGTTTCCTTTTGTCTATTTACATGTAAATAACGTTGAACCTGCAACATGACACTATCTATTGTAACATACATTTTGCAAGGGAGCACAACAGTGAAAAGAAGTTAGCCTTAAAATCTATTTTGTACAAGTGTTCTGTTGTACAACTCAAGTGCTAAGCTTATCTCAGCATTTCTGTTTATCCTTATACTGTATCACTGAGGCAATTTAAAAGTACTTTTACAAAACAGAGTACCTGACTTTTTTTCCACACACAGCACATATAATGCATATCGACCCCCCACCCCCATTAAGGTATAGCACACACACACCGCAAGAAAAAAACTAATAGGTAATAATGTTATCATGTTGCCCATCCTTCAGAGAGCCGCATGCGCTTGACAGAGGGGCTTTCCCTTTCGTCCGGCGAAGGTCTGGTGAGTCCAATTGGGGAGTGGAATTCGTTCCGATGATCCTCTCGATCGCTTCCATCATATGAGCTGCTACAGCTGCTCAAGCTGTCAACAGGAGATCTCCCCGCCTCATGGCGCGTGTGCTGTGGGTATCTCGAGGGTGTGGTGGTACGGTCTCTAGGAGGAGAAACAGGTTCTGACTTGATGTTGAGGCTTTGAGTAGAAGGCAGGGAGAGATTTGTATTCTGAGATAAATGAGTGCTAGTGCAAGCTCTGTAGGAGGAAAGGAAACCCAGTTACAGACTGAGGAGGCATGGAGCCCCCAGCAATGTATAAACACTTGCCCAAAATATCAGTTTAAAGACTCATGGATAACAGTGCATGTCAAGAACATGAGAAATAATCCCTAAGAAATATTGAGACCCAGTGAAAGGTGTGGGAGGCATCACAACAGACATGACCTTCTTGAATGGCTCAATGGTATAGCCTACAAAGAAAGTTTACTTTTTTGGTAAGTTCTGAGATAAATTGGATACTGAGCCTTTGCACTATTGAAACCACTACCATTTTCTTTATAATTGATGAATATTAGAACATAAGAATGACATTTCTGAGTCAGACCAGTGGTCTGTCTAGTTATTCTGTCTTATGGCAGTGACCAGGGCCAGATCTTCAGAGGGAATAAACAGAACAGCGCAATTATTGAGTGATCCATCTGTCATCCAGATTCAGTGTCTGTAAATCAGAAGTTTAGGGACATCCAGAGCATGGGGTTGCATCCCTACTCATCTTGGCTAATCATCATTGGTAGACCCATCTTCCATGAATTTAGCTAATTCTTTAAAAAAAAAAAAACCAATTATACCTGTGGCCTTCACAACATCCTCACAGATTCACTATGCATTGTGTGAAGAAATACTTCTTGAAGTTTGTTTTAAACCTGCTGCTTATTAATTTCATTGAGTGACCCCTCGTTCTTGTAATAGGAATGGATAATTAACACTTTCTTATTCACTTTCTCCATGACAGTCATGATTTTATAGATGTCTGTTATGTTCCTCTTAGTCATTTCTTTTCTAAGATGAACAGTCCCAGTTTTTCAGTCTCTCCTCATATAGAAGCTGTTACATTCACTAATTTTTGGTGCCCTTCTCTGTACTTTTGCCAATTCTAATGTATCTTTTAGAGATGAGTTAACCAGAACTGTATGCAGTATTCAAGATGTAGAAATAAAATGGATTTATATAGTGGCATTATGATATTTTCTGACTTATTATCTGTCTCTTTCTTAAAGGTTCCTATTCTGTTAGCTTTTTTGACTGAAGCTTCATATGCAGTGCATGTTTTCAGAGAACTATCCACAATGACTCCAGGATCTCTTTCTTGAGTGGTAGCAGCTAATTTAAAGCCTGTCATTTTGCATGTATAGTTGCTTTGCAATGTGTGGTTTTTTTGCCTACATCAACATTTAATGTAATCTGCCATTTTGTTGCCCAGTCACTCAGTTTTGTCTGATCCCTTTGTAACTCTTCACAGTCAGCTTTGGACTTACCTACGCTGAGTTGTTTTGTATCATCTACAAATTTTGCAGCTTCACCATTTATTCTTTTTTCCCCCTAGATCATTTATGAATATGTTGAATAGCACTGGACCTAGAACAGATCCTTGGGGGATCACTATTTACCCCTCTCTCTGTGAACACTGATCATTTATTCCTTTCATTTGTTTCCTCTCTTAACTAGTTGCTGATTCATATCCATATGTCTATGCATGTATGCATTGGGGTTGATGTGAGAAGGAGTTTCTGTTGAGACCAATCAAATTAGTTTAGATGCACAAAAGTATTTTTCACAATGATGAATAGCAATGTACATGATATTGCAAACTATGTAAGATTTTTAACTTCAAAAATGAAGAGTTTAATTTAGTTGAACATTGAAAGGAATTAATATTAAAAAATCATAGAATCATAGAATCATAGAATAATAGTACTGGAAGGGACCTCGAGAGGTCATCGAGTCCAGCCCCCCGCCCTCAAGGCAGGATCAAGCTCCGTCTACACCATCCCTGACAGATGTCTATCTAACCTGTTCTTAAATATCTCCAGAGAAGGAGATTCCACCACCTCCCTTGGCAATTTATTCCAATATTTGACCACCCTGACAGTTAGGAATTTTTTCCTAATGTCCAATCTAAACCGCCCCTGCTGCACTTTAAGCCCATTACTCCTTCTCCTGTCCTCAGAAACCAAGAGGAACAAATTTTCTCCTTCCTCCTTGTGACACCCTTTTAGATATTTGAAAACCGCTATCATGTCCCCCCTTAATCTTCTTTTTTCCAAACTAAACAAGCCCAGTTCATGAAGCCTGGCTTCATAGGTCATGTTCTCCAGACCTTTAATCATTCTTGTCGCTCTTCTCTGTACCCTTTCCAATTTCTCCACATCTTTCTTGAAATGTGGTGCCCAGAACTGGACACAGTACTCCAGCTGAGGCCTAACTAGTGCAGAGTAGAGCGGCAGAATGACTTATCCTAGGCAGATTAGGATTTGATATATTAATCTGTGCTACAGATTTAAGAATTCTAAAGTCAAAATATGATTTGTATTTTTTAGCCAATAAGATACCAAAGACTTTTAGCTGAAATGTAATTGTGGGTGTCAGGGGAATATAATGCTTTGCATGTGGGCACTCCCATTTTATACAAAGAGCACCATAAACACCAACAAAAATGATAGTTCTCACTTTATTTCCATTACAGAAAGAAAGAAAGAAAGAAAGAAAGAAAGAAAGAAAGAAAGAAAGAAAGAAAGAAAGAAAGAAAACACTAAATGCATATTCTAATATTTTTTGGTGATGTAGTTGTTTGCACAGGTTAGAGGCATTTGTAAGCTGCAATGTGTGGGAGGGAAAGAAAACAGGAAAAAATGTTCATTATTATAAAATAAGGGGGAATGACACCACTTGCCTTTGAAGAATGTTTTGTGCAAAAGCACCACCTACTGGCCAAAACTGAATTTCCTATTTTAATATTTGTGTCTTAAAAATATCTTTCTTAGTGAGTAATTCTTATTATTTTTTGAGGCATGGTTTCAGTTGAGAGCAACCAATCAGGCTGAAATTAGACTCCCGAAACACATAATTTCAAGAGCTTTAATGGTGAGGCAATATTTGTGGGGTATTGTGTTTAGGCCACATCTACTGTAACTCTAGAGAATGATACAACTACTTGAAACAATTCAGCTTCTCCACTGAAATTATATCAAATGCTTTTATCACTAATTGTCACAATGTTTGTGAAAAATAGCCCTGTATTCTCCCCCCAAGCATGTTGCAGGGCTCATTGATGCAAAGGGCTTAAAAAGTGCAGTGAGGTCTTTTTAAGAAGACAATCTGAAGGCAAACTATGTATTTTCCTTTGCATTTTGGAAGTATGTTTTAAATGTGTGGAAAAAACTGCCTGTTCATTTCAGTCTTGGCCATTTCTACTTAGTAAAACATTCTACTTTGGCTGAGAACTTGATGAAAAAATCCAACATAAAATAAAAATATATATTCCTGTGTTTTTTCTTTTTTGTATCAATTTTTCCCCTTAAGAAAGGTTTAAGCTTTTCTTGGGGGAGCAGGCTCGCAGTTTAATAACTACTTTAGACTAAAAGTGGAGGTGGACACAAAAGTTGGCTCGGAATTTAAAATTCCTCAACATAGGAAGTGTTGGGATCTGGAGATACAATTTGGTACTACCTGTGATATAAACCCATGATATGTCTATAGAGTTTACACACTGATTTATATCTCTTTACCTTCATTGCATGATGTTATATGTTACAGTTTCCATTAGTAGCACATTTCTGAAAGAGAGATAGAATGAGTGCAACTCCTGAGAAATACAGCTGATGCTACTGCACGCTAATGTACATTACTTTTGGTATAGACATTCAGGAACCATTGTGAAAACTTGTCTCTTTAGTCTTCATTAGCCAAAACTTTGTGGGTTATAAGCAGATGTGGTTCATTACAAGTGATAATAGCCCACTATGCATGGATATAGATAGCCAATGTGAGTAAGATTTAGAATTCAAGATGGGAGATTGCAGCTACATGAAGGATGGATCTGATTTCTTCACTGTCAAAGAATATAGGTGCTTTTTACCAAATTCAGCATGAGGTAAATACCTGGTTTTGCCTTTGCATGTTAATGGCACAAATCCCAATGTTTATTTTATAAAAAATGCTTATTTTACCTTCATAAAAATACACTGTATGGACCCAGGCTAATATTATCTTTGTCTTTTGAATAACACAGTAACCTGCTTGAAACATAAAGGGCAAAAGAAAATTATTTAATTTTAAAGAGTTCTATAGAATTACTATCAATTATCAATCAGATAATGCCAGCAAATTGGTTGAAACTATCAACTAGCTGAATTATCAGGCACACAAATAATCATAATATGTTGATGAAGAGTCAATTCAGTTTTGTAAAGGGAAATAATGCTTCACCAACCTACTTGTATTCTTTGAGAGTGGCAGAAAACAAGAGGACAAGGATGAATCAGTCATCATAGTATATTTGGATGTTCAGAAAACCTTTGACAAAGTCCCTCACCAAAGGTTCTTAAACAAAGTAAGCAGTCATTGAATAAGAGGGAAGATCCTTTTGTGGATCAGAAACTGGTTAAAAGATATGATCAGTGATCAGTTTTCAAATGGAGAGAAATAAATAGCAAAGGTCCTCAAGGATTTATATTAGAAACCGTGCTCTTCAACGTATTCATAAATGATCTGGGAAATGGAGTAAACAGTGAGGTGGCAAAGTTCGTAGACAGTGTAAATCTACTCATGGTAGTTAAGTCCAGAGCTGACTGCAAAACTTTACAAAAGGATCTCACAAAATTAGGTGAAAAACATCCCAACTATACACACACAAAATGATAGGGTTTTACTTAGCTGTTATCACTCAAGACAAAGATCTTGAAGTCACTGTTGATAGATCACTGAAAACATCTGCTCAGTGTCCAATGATAGTCAAAAAAAAGCTAGCAAAATGTTAGGACATTTTATGAAAGGGACAAATAATAAGACAGAAAATATAATGCCACTATATAAAGCCATAGTACCCACAGACCTTGACTATTGCATGCAGTTCTGGTCGACCCATTTAATACATATATATTAACACTGTAAAATGTACAGAGAAGGGTAACCAAAAAGAGTAGGGGTATAGAGCTGCTTCTCTATGAGGGGAGATTAAAAAGACTGGGACTGCTGAGTTTAGAAAAGAGACGACTACAGGAGCATATGACAGACTATAAAATCATGACTCCTGTGGAGAAAGTGAAAAAGGAAGTGTTATTCACTCCTTCACATAACACAAGATCCAGAGTCTGCCTAATAAAATTAATATGCAGCAGGTTTAAAACAAACATAAAGAAGTACTTCTTTACTCAACACAGTCAGCCTGTGGAACACTTTGTCAAGGAATGCTATGAAGACCTAAAGTCTAACCAGGTTTGAAAAGAATTAGCTAAGTTTATTGAGGATAGATCCATCAAAGGTTATTAGCCAAGGATTCAAACCCATGCTCTGGGCATCCCTAAACCTCTGACTTCCAGAAGCTGGGACTGGATGACAGGATATGGATCATCTAATAATTGCCCTTTTCTGTTCCGTTATTTCAATTATATATATTGGTCTGACTTAATTTGGCAATTCTTATGGTCTTATAGTCCACTCACAGTGATTCTAATTTAGTAATCTTCATATAATGGACAGAAAACATTTAATTTCATAAGGATAATAAAGGAGAATATACTTAAAAGTTAAACCTCAGTGCACATTGAAATCTGAGTGGCACACAGAGATTATTTGATGTACATGAAGTGGGGCAAATATGATTCCCTTCTTTGGGATGGAAGGTTTTTTAGAAAGTACAGTGAGCCTGGGTTTCCTGTGAGAGGGCTAGGAATGCCAGGATGGAAGGAATCTGTAAAGGGAGCTTTGATCTTATGTATATCAGTGAGGTATATTCTGTATAGGTCACCATCTCTTTTAACTTCCAGTTGGAACTTGAGTCAGGATGGGTTTGGGCATAGGTATTATTGGCGAATGTATGGGTCTTTGCCAACACTGGTTTTCATGGAGAGGGAAAGATGGCTATATGTAGCAAGAGGAGACCATCCCATACAGCACTTTCTTTCCTCTCAGGCCCCACCTCTAGGGCTTTGTGTCTGGTTTTGCTTTCCTCCTTACCGCAGAACATATATATATTTGTATGTGTGTGAGTGAAGGTACTTAGAGCTTAGCACTGGATATTGACGAAGACCTTGAGAATGTTATTGTTTTAACTACTAACTAGTTAGTCAATAATCCTGGAGCAAACCTGTGGATCTGAGCCAATGCTTTGTTCAATAAGATTGAGAAAGATTTGGGGATGCTTCTACTGTTATACATACAAACAGTATGTATTGTTTTGTTGTCTCTATAACAAAATTAGTTGGAATAAATATTGTGTTTGAGTATTTAAACCTGCATTTTTATTTATGAAACCTATTCTTTTGACTGTAGCCAACATTCAAAGCAGAAAATGAAATTGATAATTATGGACAAGGCGGAATGTTTATCATGTATGCCATGCCTGTGGCTTGAGAAATTGGCAAATGGATACAGAATCTTTCACTTGTAGGTGAAAGCTCATAGCCACTTCTGGTGAGCAGTGACCAACAACTCATAGCTTTTGCTGATCAACCTAAAACAGGTAGTTCACAGAGAAGAGATGTCAAAAACAGGAGCATTTTTTATTAATAAAAATTTCGAATTTATTTTTAGATCAATTATAGAGCTGGTTAAAAAAAAGGCAAAGGACTGAACAGACATGGGCTCTGTACTACTGTGATGTCCTTAGAAACTGTTCAAGACACTGTTCAGGCACGTGGGCACTAGTATTGTTGTCCAGTCAATGACTGGATCAAGATGAACAGCAGTCGTTCTGCACTCATCTTAAGCTGTTCAGACAATGTTGCCAAAACAGCAGCTGTCGGTGGCCAGAGATCCATGGGGGATCACCTGTGACAGAACACCTGTGATAAGCTGTAATACAATCTGTGCTTCTGTGCCATATGGAGTGGAACATGAGCTGCTTTGTACTGCTACTATTGGTGCTGGTAACAGAGTCCCCTGGAGAATTTGCATGTCTCCCTTATTAACTCTGCCCTGTCTGAGACATATCACAGATCTTTCCCAAAGCTTATTTAACAGAACACAGTTCTCCTAGCCTCCTCCAAATAAACACGCTAGTTCTGAACGTGTTAACTTATTTCTTCAACCTTTGTAGCCCCTGGAACTGACCTCTTTCAACTAATATAGTACAGGAATTTAAAGGCAGGTCAAGTCTTTTCAATCTGCTTGTTCAAGTTTCTGAGAATGGTTGAGGAGTTTGGGTAAATGGGGTTCTTACAGAGAGTGGACATGTCTTTATATTTTTGGAAGTTCTAATTAGCTGATTCTTCTGCCTATGTGGGCTAGGTTTGGTTTTATAAATTTGTGTTTAAACTGTGCATTTCAAAGAAATTGTTAAATCACCCCGTGCTTAAGATAGTTGCTTTTGTATATAAATTTCAATATGCAAAATAAAACAAAATTATGCTTATTTTCTGAGTGAGTGGAAGACTCTACTGGGGCTGGTAATGAAGTGGTTGCCATTGTACTAACTTCACTTGAAAATTATTGAGAAAATAATTTTAAGACCAGCAACACTGAATGTGTTCCACTACGCACAGTCATTACATTTTTTGTGATATGAATTAGAAACATACAGTGTTACATATCTATCTAAAAAAGCACATTGTTTTCAATGGTTTTTCATAACAAGACTATTTGGTGAACAAAACAAATAAATTAAATCCTAAACTAACAATCAACTTTACAGTAAGTTATACATTGATAGCTAACATGTGAGTTTTCAGTTTCCTTGGGATTTTATATCCCTAGATGTACAGACATGGCCACAGAGGTAAGGGAGGGCAAAGGGAGAAACTGTCCCAGAGTCCGGAGATACAAAAGGGCCCAGAGCACTCAGCTGCTGCTGCCCTTTAAATCGCTGCCAAAGTGCCACCCTCTGGGCATCACTGAGGGCTGCATAGGGGAGGCATGGTGCTCTCCGGGCAGTGGTGAGGTCTGCTTAGGGCACAAAGCAGGGCCCACTCTTGCCCAGGGCCTGGCCAGGCTATCGGCCCTGCTGTGTACAGTTAACATGTTTGCCACAAAAAAAATGCAGGCCTCAAACAGAAAAGTAATAAGGAAGGAATAATGAAGATGTATTAACACTATTTTTTCTAAATCACCACATTTTTGATTGTATGTGTTTATGCAATTAATATCTGTAACTATGTATCTCTTATTTCTGCTAAAGTGTTATTCAAAAAGTATATATTTTTTAAGCCTTTGTTTAGCTATTTCTCTAAAAGCCCAATCCAGTGGCACATGAGGGAAATTACAGAAAGTTATAAAACTTAGTCTGATAAATTACAAAGAGAATTTTAACATTTAATATGTACAGCGTTAAATACTTTCAGATTATGTCAGCAGTCTTGCCAAAAATTAAAGTTTATAGATAACAGTTGTCTTTTTTTTAAAAAAGCTTGATTTAATACTTCAAATGCCAGTGAACTGCAACTATACTAGTTGATATATTCAGTCACTTTTTAATTTGTACTTTTCTCAATGAACAACTTCCAATTCAAGCATGTCTGGCCATACCTTCATCTACAATGTTTGAAATGCTAGCATACCCCCAGGAGCTGGCTCACTAGGAATTTCAGGAGATCAGTATATCTAAAATCAGGCCCTTAAAATTTATTTTAATCAGCCAATTGTTTTTTGTTTGTTCAATTAATTAGGTTGTTTTGCTCATGTACATTCCACTTTTTATAAAATATTTAAACCATACAGGATTGTTTTATTGCAGGCTTCACATCTACCAGAGAAATATACTGAAAATGCCACTAGAGGGCACAAATACATGTTCTCTTAGACACAGGCAAACCAAAATTAGATTTATCTGCTGCCAGATTCTTAGTCACAATTATGTTATCCTTCTATAATGCAGTTCCAAATAATAAAACTTGCAAGTCACAGCTAAGCAGATGGAAGTATATGATTATTAGACAAGGTTATGGATTCATCTCAGGTCAAATCATTACGCTCTTCTTATTTATCAGTGATTTAAAAATACGTAGCAAATTTGCAAAGTTTACTGTAAAAGTGCACATTGAACTATGTGGAATCCAAAAGCTTAAGGGAAACACAAAGCAAAAGAAGCACAATTATAAGAGTACTGTTTTGTCCTGTTTTGGAAATAAAATATCACTTAGACAAGTGAAGGATTAGATAGATAAGAGTACACTTTCCCAAAACACTAAGAAAGTGCTATGAAATATGATTGTAGTTTAGCTACCTGACAAACTTTTGATTGATACTAATTTTCAAGCTTTGTATTTTGAAAGTGGCGCTTATACACACAGTAGGCCTTTGTTGATATTTTATCTCACTTAGGGTTTGGGATTAATTGGGTTATAAAAAACATTGTTTCTCACTCAAAACAGTATTAAGGTAATGTAAAATGATATGATAATGTAAGTAATATTGCTTACCCCAATTGACTGAGGGCAGATGGTGGCATGTTATGTAGATGCTGCTGTTGCCAGCCAGTTACTGAACCAAGATGAAGAGCACTGGCTGTGTTAAACCCAGAGAGAGATGATAAGTCTGCACTACTCAGTGAGTATTCTAGGTATCAAAACAGAACAGACAATAACTAAATGAGAATTAAGGGAAATAAACAGTAAGTAGCACCACAATTTAAATTTTCATACATACTGTAATCAGTTTTTTTATCATCATTATGCAAGTGGTATTAAATTGCACCAACAAACCAGGAGCCTTTTCTTAAGCCAATTAATCATTTTAGGAACAAATAACATCCTCTAATTTATGGACGCCTTTCTGGACATAGCGATCCAGAAACATGCTTGGCCCATACAGCCTTCATTGCCATGCATTATAGATTAACAGTCTTTAAGGCCAGAAGGGAGCATTAGATCACCTTCTGTATAGCTCAAGCCAGAGAATTTCACCCAGTCACCTCTGCTTTTTGATCTGAGGAAGGGGTCTGGCCCACAAAAGCTCATCACCTAATAAACCATCTTGTTAGTCTTTAAAGTGCTATATAGTCCTGTTTTTTGTTTCACCTCTGCTGTGAGCCTAAGAACTAATATTTGATGACAGTGTATCTTCCAGAAAGGCATCCAGTCTATATATCCATCTAGTCTACTTAGTAATGGTGTGTTGTGATTTTCTGTATGGTTTACTTGTGTGTCCAAAAAAATGTCTTTTCAAACAACACTATTTAACAAAAATCTTTAGAAAAAGGCATTATAAAGCAGTTTTCCATTAGAATAATGTAGTCACTTGAATCGCTGTATGTCTCAAGTCATTTATAGACTAAGTATAAGCTAATGAGGCTTTCAACCACTCAAAGTGGTCCAATATGCATTAAGGAATTTCATTACTACTGAGTCACTGCATAGGTCAGTATCTTGCTCTCCCCTACTATTCACATCTTACATTGATACTTACCCGTACCATATGTTGTAGAAATGGCCGATGGGTATCCTCCCATCCCTTGCCCTGGCAAAGTAGGAGTTGCTACGGAAACCACTGGGGTAGCCAATGACTGAGCAGATTGGGAGTTATTTATCCTCTGATTCTTTTAAAGTAAATAAAATAAACAAATTATTGACCAGTTTAAATCAGTTAAATGTATTGGATTTCAGAGTATGTTTTGTGCATGCGATACAACTTGATACAGATTTCATGAAATTAATCATTTAACATGTGGCTTTTATGAACTCTGCCAACCCTATCATTTACAATCCTTCAAGAGATTAGTTGTCACCATAGTAACGCATTACATCAGTATCTCCTAGGAAACCAAACTTGTAACAAGTAAGATTGCTTTATTGTAGGTAGAAGAGACCACGTGAAAAACTGATGAAATATGTAAACTCAACTTCCATTGTTTTACTTTTCATTCAAATGCAAAATTTTTATTAAAATCAGCAATAATGGATTTTATGTTTAATTCAGTAAGCAATATTGTGGAAGTATCACATAATAAACTTTCACCAGCAGATGGTGCTCTGGCTACTTCATTTTTTCTCAGCAAAACTTCAAAATATTAGCTAGCAAAGCAGTTATACAATTGTCTTTAATTCTTAGTACTAGATATTTCAATACAAAAAATTGGACCAAGAAATTCAAATTCTTGCAGGAAAAACTATAAAATGTCCAGAGAAAACTTAAAAAAACCCTAATAAAATGTGCCACTTTAAAAAAATAGTCTATTTTTTTAGCATGCTAGCAAAATATTTACAGTAGATAAGCTTCCTTTTCAAGGCTTTTTTAACATGCAGAGGCTGAAAAATATAGGTAACAATTCCATTCTTGTCACCTAAATTATATACCATATTAGATAATACTGGGATTGCTTATTTTTATTTTAACCACTAACTTGATTTTTTTTGGATTATTAGGATGAGAGCATCACTACCACTTACCAAAAGCAGATCAACATCCTCAGACTGAGAGCATAGGAAAGGAGTGTTAATAATTAGTGAACGTAAATATTTATCAGCAGACAGCTTTCAAACACAATGAATAGCTTCATCTGATAGGCATAACATGTTAAATAATTTTTGAACACTGCCTACAAAAATAACATTTCATAAAGCCATTCTTTATCCTCCTAATGAGATATTTGTCTCAATTGGGAAGACAGTCTATCCAGTTTTCAGCACAGCTCTTTGTCTCACTATTCATTATTTTTCTCCAGCCCCAGTGGCTGCAAAGATTGTTTAGCAGCACCTTGGTGCCAGAGACCTGACCAGTCAAAGAATCCCTTGGAAGGTATCAGTTTTAAGGTCCTTGGAATAAATCATTTGATGGAGACAGCTTGTCACAGCTCTGGTCTTCTCGAATGTAGCTTCATAGGAGGCTGTTATTTATTACTCCTCATCTTTTAAGATGAAAGCATCACGTTTGTGGAGCTTTAGTTTAATATTCAAAGTTAAAGTAGCCAACTTGCAAGTTGTTTAAATAGCTTGCTTGTCACATAATGGAAAAATGTGTTTACAGCATCACTTCAGTTCACTATCTGGATCCCTTTTTAATCATCCTCACTTTTAATGTTACATCGCTCATGAAAGATTTACTGTTTTGTAGAGAAAGGAAAGACACTAACATGAAACGCTTGATAAGTCAATCTTACAGTCCTCTGCTTCAGCTTTGTTAACACAGAAAGGAGATACATAGTTCCCAGGTTAGATGCTTTCACTGTTTCTTACTACTTCTAAAGAATAATTACTGTTTCTCATCATTATAAAATATGACCCTTGTTCTCAGCATGACAGATTTCCAACTCATTTGTTACTGGTTATTCTGTCATTTGCTGAGACTTTGGTTGTGCAGAATTAAACCAAAGTTGTTAATTGCAGACCATGTATAAGACTAAGTTTAATCTTGTAACAAATCTAGGAAATGATTTTCCAGTAACTAGAAAATTCAGAGTGTGCAGAAAAGTTACCCTTTTTTCTAATTGAGTAGAAAGGGGGAGGAAGTAAAAAGGATTTCATAAAATATAAATAGAAATGAGACCAATCTATCAGCAGAGTGAACTGGACAATGTCAGAATATAGGGTCTGATCCAAAGCCCATGGAAATGAATAGGAGTCTACTTGGAAACAGCCATAGTTTGAAGGGAAAAAAGAAATGCCTGAGGAATGCATTACCACTGATGGCATTGTGTTTTTGCTGCCTGGTGGAATAAGCACTCGGAGATCTGGTTTACGGTTGTTCATTCCCAAATTCATTGGGGGCGGAGATTTTGCTTGCATATTCTTGTTCAAGTTGCCAGGTGAGACCAGCAGACCTGGTGAGTTTCGGGGGTTGCCATACCCATTCCCTGTTTTTTGAAGGAAAAAAAAACACAGAACGGAATGTGACAAAGAGGAGCAGAGATTTGCGTACATGAAAATTAAAACTTGATATTAACCAAAACAAGCATATATACTGACAAAGCTTACTATGGGTAAAGTGTAAGTGCCTATGTGTGAAAATATAACTTCTCTGGTATTTGGAACAACTGATTTTGAGACACTTTTTCTCAGGACAGTCGACCTTTCAGTGAAGTAAAATGTGATTATCTGACACTATTATACTGAGGAGTATTGTGCACTCAGATTAGTGAAAACCTAACTTTTGTTACAAAGTAGAGTCAGGAATAGTCAGACAATCTTATGGTTGAAAAAAAAATGCAGAAAACTGTGCCGTGCTTTCATGGACAAATACAAGAGGATTGTGACTTGGCTGACTCACTCCTTTCCAGTTCATGGTTTTGTTTTGTTTTTAGACAAAGAACAAGTATAGCAAGGCTATAATTTCCAGAAAAAGCCGGGGGAGGAATAGGAAGACTCTTAAATGCTTTTCTACTCTCTTCCCCTGACTTTTAGGACCTGATCTTGTCAACAATAAATTCAATGGGAGAAGGAGCATGTCCTTATTTGGAAAATACCCTGATATCTTTCCTCCTGCCTTCCGCAAATCCTTGAAATAATCCTGACAGGCAAATGCTTCGTATTGTGCTAATTTGGAAGCAGTTTTTCCTGTGTAACTGAAATAATACTAGTGCTTGCATCGCGATGCAATTAATGTCTTCCCATTCCACCTAAAACAAGATCTTTTCCTGCTCACCCATGAATACCCTTCTCCTGCACATATCCACAAATAAAAGAGATGGCTTTGTAATGTGCTCTCCAAATTCTGACTTTGTGGTATCAAGGGAAGTAGAGACTATATAAAACTTCACTGAGCTAAATAATATTAAATCTATAATGCAGACAGAGAGGGAACACTCACATCTGAATCTCAATGAAACAAATATTAAACAAAATATTCCATTCTAGGCTCACTTTTAGTTCATAATTACCAGAGATAAATATTCAAAAATAATGAGGAAATATGGGCTTGTAAGCAAGGCACTGACCTAGGAATTGGAAAATGTAAATTCTCTTCTTTGCATTGACACCAACTTTCTGCATAATCATGGACAAGTAACCTAACATATATGGCCCTAAGTTTCTTCATCTATAAAATGGGGATGGTAGCTGAATATCACAGAGGCATGTTTGAGGCTAAATTGGGCAAGTGCACCATAGGAATATCAATAAATAAAATGATGTATCCTCTTGGTGTAATGTAACCTGTTTATTTGTGCAATTAAACATGACTGAGTACTCAGAATATTAAATCATAAATTTTAATCTGTAAACTCATAAGGTTAAATGTATTCATTAGGGGTGTGCCTACACAGCACAATTATTTCAAATTACATAGCAATTTGTTATTTTGAAATAAATTTGAAATAACGGACGGCTTATTCCGACTTCTGTAAACCTCATTCCATGAGCAATAATGCCTATTCCAAAATAGCTATTTCAAAATAGCTATAGTGTGGATGCTCCACGGTTGCCATTTCAAAATAGCTCCTCACCACGCCATTCAAAGTAATTATTCCCTAGTGCTTGCTTGGGCTCTAAATCGAGGTGGAGCATCCACACTAGGGGAGACTGCCTTGGACTAATTTTGAGGCTTCCCTGTAGTGTAGACACACAATTTCAAAATAAGCTATTTGGAGTACTTCTTCTGGAATAGCTTATTCTGAAATAAGAGTGCAGTGTAGACGTACCCTAGATTAAGTATAATCCTCTTCCAGATAGTTAGTGGGAGAAAAAATTAGATAGATTCTTTAAAAAATCTAAATGCCTTTGGATGTATTTACATTTTAAGAAATGTTTGTTAATAGTTAAGCTGGCTGTTTCATTTCTTAATAGCATCCTACAGGTATCAAGATAAAATATGTATTAATTAAAAAGAGGATTTTACACTAATCAAAATTGAAGAATTTTTAATTCAGTATCATACAGACTTTTAAAATGAACAATTATTTTGAATGTGTATTTGCTATATTTTTATCCTTAATTAATGCTATGGCTTATTAGAGAGAAGGTTATTGAAAGAATGACATTTTAAAGAATGTATTTTTCTAAGCTATACAGTGCTCTTAAGCTGATGTTCAGTTTGACAAATACAACATATGTTTTAGTCATGTGAGATCTGGTTTAAACAAACAATCAAATGGAAAATTATCTTGGTAATTGCAAAAAAAAAAAAAGCAGCAGTATTAAAAACTTTTAAGAAGTGTAGTGAAGTGATCTATGGAAGAAGCTGAAGCATAGGCCAGATTTCCTCTGATATTGGCTATCATATAGGAGTTATTTTGTTAAAAGGAAGTAAAAACACCCTGTGAAATGGGTTGCAATATGATATGAGAAGCATATCTTCCATGTGTAAAAGAAGCTGTTTGACAAAAACTATATGCTTGTTTTTTTATTTATTCATTTATGTTTTAAATTCTACAATAAGCTTTCTGATAGAATCCAGCAAAGTTCATGTATTAGAGCGTTTTGTTTTTTTTGCTTCTGATTTTTGGAGAAAGTATTTAAAATATAACAATGAAATTTTCCACAAAAGATATTTATTAACCCAATGTGATTTATTTAATGAGAAAAATTAATATCAGGAATATATTTCCAACATTTAGAATGTATGCTATTCAAAAACATCAGGGTTTTTATATATATTTACCTACTGATGTAAAATATTTTGAACAGTGATGACATTTCTTACATTTATATTTTTAGAACATAAAATTATTTTTAAGAACTACTGCAATCTTCTCTTTACCAGTGGATTTCTGCTGTTCTTGGCATATTATGCCAGCTAGCATTTTGGAGCCATATAATAACCATTTCTCTTTCCAGCCACCAAATTGTTTTTCTTTTGGCATAATGTGGAATCAGGAATGTAAGACTGTGGACTCTAAACCAATGATATAAGAACCCATCATTTGAAAATCAATGATGAATACGTGCATGCGGTTTACAGCTAAGAAGAGCCTGCATTTAAACCAGCTCTCTAAACCGCATCCTCCTTCTTACTCACAAAGCTGTGGCCTGCTCTGAGGCAGCTGTCCCACCTTCAGATAAATCCACCAAAGAGAATGGTCATTCAGAGGAAAAAAAAAACACCCTGTATAAGCCTTCTAATATACAGATTAAACCTTTCTTCATCCTATACTTTAAAATTACACTCCGCCTGGAGAATTATCAATTTAGATGTGACTGTATGCAGAACATCACATTCCACTACCCACTAGAAAGCACAAAAATTATATGTCATGTATGAATGGATTTCCTGATTATAGATTATAAGAAAATGAAGAACAGATGGATTTTAGAGCAAGTTTGCTTTACATTTTTATTTGGTTAAAAGCCATATTTTCACTGAAATAGAACATTTTTAAACATTATGGATATAATTTGTAATGCAAAGTGAAAATAAAAACAGTAGATGTACAAGTTTTAAAGGGCATATCTCCATGTAAATTTATAACACTTTCAATTCGAGAAGCTGTAAGAACAAATTGATTTAGTCCTGTTTTTTGTTTGTTTTTGTTTTGTTGAGTTTAAAGAGTGAAAAGATTTTGCACATAAAAAGAAATTACTTATAGCTAAGTAAAGTAGAAGAGCAGCACAGAACCACTAAATGTAGTGACTTTGTATTTGGATTAACTGCTCAATAAAGAAAAATTTTGATAGACTCCTTTTCCTGTGACCATCAATCAGGAAAAAACATTCTCTGACTTCTGAGAGAATATTGCTTACATAAAAGTGCACAATTAAGCCTTATATATCACCTTTTTAACTCCATCAGACCCAAGAAATAAATTTCTCTGTAGCAGAGAAATACAGTAATAATCAATACAAAATGTTTGTCCACTGAAGGAAAGATATTAATTGAACTACATTTTTCTCAATTATTTCAAATACATTATTTTAATTGCTCACTTGTATTTTGTAAGGACTTTACAATGTATTTTCACAAGTGCCTAGCAAGTAAAGTTAGACCAAAGCTGAGTAGTTTTGAAAATTTCACCTTGAATAGCCAGTAAACAGCATTTAAGACTGGAAGCTGTATCGCTCACTCAGACTAAGGCCATATCAGTAAGGACTGCAGGATTCAGCCCATATGTTTTTTTATTCCTAAAAGGCAAGAATTTTAGGCTCAAAGTTAACCAAATAGAGCAGTGATTCTTGTCTAGATTTCTGAAAGTTTTAATTAGTTTCATATCAGTTTTCATCATTACAAATGCAGGCAAAAAAAAGAAAAAAGAACAAAATAAGATGGAGGAGAAATATTCGTCATATAGGCTGAGATTTTCAAAGTTGTTTAGGAGCCTTTGACACCCATTTCCCATTACTTTTAATTGTAACAATGTCCAAATTTTGAGGAAAGTTTGAAAATGTCAGTGATAATTTCAAATTGCCAGTATTCCTATTAACCTACAGGTTTACTTTTCCATAATTCTTCTGAGAAGAATATAGATTCTTTTTTATAAGTGCTCCCTGACTCTACACAGACATAGAATCATATGACATCTATAGTTATTTGTGTAACCTTTTTTCATGTGACCAGTAACCCTCTAAAAATACATGTGAAATTCAGAACAATACTTTATTGAAGAGAGAGACACTTATGATGTATTTTACTTTGAAATTTATAATACACAAAGAATAAGTGAGAAGAGAAAGCAAGGAGTAATAGAAATCTTGCTAAAATTATACTCTTTAATCACTCTCATCTCCCATTGACTACAAAAAGAATTTTGCCTGAATAAGGAGGAATTAAATGCTGATTTAGAGGCTTCTAAGGATCTATGTGTCTCTTCCTCTTCCATGTATATAAAGTAGAGTCGCCACAGATAGGCCTGAGTAGGCTGTGACCCACTCAATTTTCACCCATGCCCACCCACCCATGCAGGCCAAGCGCTGGGAATGACCTCGC